CAGAAGCTTTAATATTTCGAATATCGGGAACTGTACGGTCAGCAAGATTTCTCTCGAGACTTACAATTTTCGTTGAAAGTATGTTATGAGGTAGAGGGAGGTAGTGTAGTAGGCTGTCTTCAACACCAAGTTGAAAGTATATTCCGTAAAAGATCTTCGACAGTCAATTTTTTTTTAAAATAAAGATAAAATGCAATACATGTATAAATAAATACATGATTGAACAGTCTTCATATGCAGTCTTCATATGCACATCTGTAATTGGAAGTAAATCTCTACAAATGAATCCATGTGTAAAATTCTGTGCATATAGAAAGTAACGTAAGACCCGATTAAAATTAAAAAGAGAAAACATTAAAAGAATGATACACAGAAATCAACGATAACAGACTACGTGAAGGAATGAAGTCAAATGGGTTAAAATCTAAACTAAGGCAACACTACTCCGCTACCCTAGTTCTAAGCCTTAATAAATTCCAACGAATGAAACGTATAAAAAGTAGAAGTCATGGAAATTACTACAAAGGTTTTAAAAGAAGACAGAGATGATACACTATATGGATGTGGCCTGCACTACTCGACTACCCTGGTCTTAAGTCTCCATACTTTCCTATCAGAGGTCATGTCCTCGGTAAGGGCTAAATCCTTCAAATCAGATCTGAAGCAGTCTTACCACTTCCGCCTTGGTCGACCTCTCCTTCTGGCACTGTCGACTGTAATCGACTCTACCCCTCCTGACCGCATCCGACGATTGTCGTAGAATGACATGCCCAAACCACCGTAATCTTCCCTCCCTCAATTTTTCGGATACATGCACCACCCCAAGGACATCCTAATAGAAGAGTTTGGTGTCATGTCCCACAGAGTCCTACCACATGCCCATCGAAGCATTCTCATTTCTGCGGCCTCCATCCTCCTTACGTGATCATTTTTGATTGCCCAACATTCTGATCCATATAGCAGTGCTGGTCTTATTGTTATTCTATAAAAATTTCCCTTAAGTTTTAGAGGCACTTTCTTGTCACACAAAACTCCAGTAGCAGCCCTCCACTTTAGCCATCCTCCCATCTTTATGTATCATAGACCCTAGGTACTTGAAATAATCCTTTTGGGGGAGAACGTGTCCTTCTATGCATACTTCTACATCTTCATCATTTTGGTTCCCACTGAAGTTTGAACATAAAAACTATGTCTTTTCAATATTGATCCTTAGACCTTTTTCTTCCAAAGCAGCCTTCCAGGTAGCTAGTCTACTATTCAACTCAGTTTTTGTTTCAGCAACTAGGACAATGTCGTCAGCGAAAAGCATGCACAATGGAACACCGTCTGGTGTCGCACAATAGATGTCGTCCATAATCATGGTGAAGATGTAGGGGCTAAGAGTCGACCTCTAGTGGAGTCCGATTTCCACCGGGAATGCCTCGGTATCGCCAACTGTAGTCCTGATGTGTATGTAGTAGATCTACAGTACATATCACGAATCTCCCGGATATAAGCAGATGATATCCGTCTCGTTTCTAAGGTCTTCCAGATCGTATCGCGGGGAACGCTATCATACGCCTTCTCAAGGTCAATGAACGCCATGTGAAGATCTCTATTTTTTCCCTATATTTCTCCATAAGCCGTCGAAGTAGATGAATCGCCTCCGTAGTAGATCTACCTGGCATAAAGCCAAATTGGTTTTCCGAAACCCTAGTAACCAGTCTCAACCTAGCCTCTATCACCTTTTCCCATAGCTTCATGGTATGGCTGAGTAGTTTAATACCTCTGTAGTTATCATAACGTTGGTGATCTCCTTTATTCTTATATATTGGTATCACCGTAGACTCTCTCCACTCCTCTGGCATCTTGGCAGTCTCTAAAATAATAATATTAAAGATATTGGTCAACCACTTTACTCCCTCTTCTCCTAGGGCCAACCACACAGAGATAGGAATTTGATCAGGGCCGACAACTTTGTCCCTCCCCATCTTTCTAAGAGTCATTTTGACTTCCTCAAACCCAATCCTACTTGTAGGGCAGTCATTAGCCGTAGTCTGACGGTCGGCTGACCCATCAACGGTACTATCTCTATAGGGAGAGGCACCGTCATTAAATAAGCCAAAGAAGTAACTACCCCAAACCCTCTTAATATCATGATCTTTCACTAAAAAAACATCATTCTCCCTGCTTTTTGCAAGCCTGAAGATGCCGTTTTGTTCTTCCTTGGTGTCTAATCTCTTGTACATTTCCTCGTATGCCTTATCCTTTGCTTTAGCCACTGTTTTCTTGGCTTCCCGATTTGCCTCCTTGTATCTTTGTTTAGCTCTCGATCTTTCTTCGTCATCATTGCATTGTAGAAACTCCTTGAAGCATGTTTGCTTTTTCTTCACCTTAGTTTGGACTTCGTCGTTTCACCACCACGATTCTTTATACTCCTTAACCTTCCCTATCGACAACCCAAGGGTTTTTTTGCCCACCTCTCTGATGGATATTTTTTCATAACATATCTGCATTATTTGGATTTGTAGTTCCAAAACATGTATTAGACAAAACCTTACTCCTAAAAGTCATTAGCTGTCGCTCCATGTAAGTTCTTCCAAAGGATCCTATGTTTACCTAGTTTAGCCCTCCTATGAGTGCTCCGCCCGTGGCGTACGCGGAACACCAAAACCAGCAATCTGTGTTGTGATGCACATGCCTCTTTCGAGATCACCTTACAGTCAATGCAAGCCCATCGATCCCAATTTTGAACCAGGATGTAGTCGATTTGGGTACAATGTCCTCCGCTATGGAACGTAATCAAGTTTACATCTCTCTTGTTAAAGCAGGAATTAGTGACCCCATATTGTGTGTAGTAGCAAATTCAAGCAACGTACTCCCCTCCTCATTCCTACTACCAAAACCGAAACCCCCATGAACACCGTCATACCCATCGGTTGTACTACCTATATGGCCATTGAAGTCTCCCCCTATGAAAACTCTTTGGTCCTCCGGAATGCTCCTAAGTACATCATCTAATTGATCCCAGAAGCAACGTTTCTCCCCCTCCCCTAGGCCAACGTGTGTGGGGCGTACACTGAAAGGACATTCACCACTTCAGCTTCTATAATAACCTTAATCATCATGATCCTATCCCGGTATCTACAAACATCAACTACATTTTCCTTGAGCCTAGAGGATACCAAGATACCCACCCCATTTCTAGCGTTATCTACGCTTGAATACCACAACTTGTACCCATTACATTCTCTGGCGCGAGCCCCTTTCCACCTAGTCTCTTGAATACATGCAAAATCTATTTTCCTATTACTAAGTACGCCGGTCAGCTCCAACAGCCTAGCATTTAATGTGCCTATTCAACGAACAAACTCTAAGTCTAGTCTCCTTGACACCACTCTGTTGAGCCCTCCCCTATATGCCCTATGGGATCTAAACGAAGGACATGACCTCAAGTAATCATTTATAGCCGAAGCTATGAGGAACTATGAAAAAGGGATCCAAAGAAGACAGAAGATGCACCAATAAAACGCTAAACAACTCACACAGATTATAGTAAAAAAATAGAGAAATTTCCAATTAATCACCCAAATGGAACAACTAGGCAAACCCATATCATAAATTGAAAACCAAAATCAATGAAAACAAGTAAATTTAGTAAGAATGGGTTAACAAGAAAAGATCTACGTAAACAAAATGCATATCTAAAGTTCTAAGATAACATCACATTATCCCAGAAACCAAAACCAATATGCTTCCTTGAGTAGCAATGATTAAAGCACTAGATCTATAATTCCAAAAGCCCAAAAGATTGGATCTATTGAATTTTTCATAACAGATAAAAAAAATGATGATCGAATACTAACAATAACTATAAGATCTCACTAACAAATCACATATCCTTTATTAATTCCAAAACCCAAGTTAAAAATAAGTTAATACTTATACTTCTTTGAAGAGGCCAGCAAGGGAAAAAAATAGAAACAGATTGAAGTTTATTAGAAACCCAAGTTGAAAATAGAACTTAAAAATTGCAATAACGAAAACCCAAAATATACCAGAGTTAAGAATATCACGAAAAATCAAAAGCTCAAACGAACAACGAGAAAACAAAAATGGTTCAACAAAGTTGAAGAAAATCACAGTAAACAAATCTTCAAAAGTTAAGCAAAACAAGTTTTTCAGATTATAAAAATGAATAAGCTCCGGAAGAACACATGAAGGAAATGACCGGAGAATGCAGCAGCACCGACAGATCTAAACTGCGGATGAGTGTGGAAGGAGTTTGATTTGTCAAAGATCAATAGAAACGGAAAGGGAGTAGAAAATCTGAGACTTAAAGCGATAGAAAGAGTGACCCTTTGTGTGTTATTTTTATTATACGTCTCCTTCCAGTTAACAAATAAATCTATTGAAACGAGATCAAACAAAAATTGCAAGATTATATAATGGAATAACAGATCTGCAGAGTTCATTAAAAGGTGAATGAGAAAAACGTAACTTACTCGGTTTCGAAGGAAAGAAGTTTAGCAGATTATGAATCTGGGAAAATTGAAGACGAAAAAAAAACTACCGAAGTAGTGAACATATTATATATTAATCACATAAAATTTTTATAGAAGATAGACATAATTATAATTTTAAAATAAAAAACTATTAAAATATGTAATTGTCAAAAAAAAAAAAATTGAACTCTAAGACTCTAAATCCTTAATATACTCACCAGTGCCATGAGTAGCACTGGCGCACAGTAGCCAAATGTATACAAGTGCTTCAATTATTTACCTACACGGTCATCGTTGTTCAAAACAAAATTATTGTATTTTGATTCAAATAATCCGAAATCAAAACATACTAAAACTAAAAATAGATAAAATTCAAGAATATTTAAAAATTAAGAAATTTAAAGCTAATCCAAGTCATCTAATTTACAGGTCTATGCTAGGGCATCTAAAAGCATACAAAATATTAGGTTTCCATTTACATGCTAAAGCTCTTATAATGAGAATGCTTGACAAAGAATCCTGCCCAAGATTTTCATTAACGTTCATCAGTTTAAAACCATTTTTACAACCCAAAGCTTGTATTTCTTTATATACAGATATAAAAGGCAAGGTCCAATCAAGCTAGCATCATACAGTCGCTTGCAGAGATTAATATAAGCTTCCAAATTTCCTGGCCGTTGGATTCTTTTCCTCAGTTCCTGCAAAACAGCGACCCCATCTAAATGCTCTGGAGACAATCTCAAGTCGAGCATTTTAATCACTGTTTCAGCTGCATTGACAATATGCCCTCCTTTAACGTAACCTCTCAACAGCCATGAAAAAGTTTTCCTCCTCCGTTGACAGCTCGAAACCTCGATTCTACTGAGCAACCGTGAGATGGAACTGGTCTCCCTCTGTGAAGCACAAATGGCTAAAACGATGTCGTATAGGTCTCCGCTTGCCTCTTTACCCGCAAGCTTCATTTCCCAGAGCTGTCTTTCGGCTTCGAGTCCTCGACCCGTGCATATGTACATAGCGAGAAGCCTCTCGTGAACTGATCCATGGAGTGAAGGGTTTCCTTCTTTTATTGCCCAGTTGGACAATCTTATCCATCGGCAAGAAGATCTGCTTGATACTTCTCGATAAGTTCCATGTTTTCGATATCGAGTTCGGCAACGGAACCAGATTTTGCAAGAGCTTTTAACTTGCGCAAGGCTTTTGCAAAACCATTAAGCTCTTTCACTAATGCTGTCATTGCAATAAGGTAGCTGTAAATCTCAGGGTTCAATCCAGATTCCTTGAGGTCAATGACCAAGTGAACAGCATCCATGTAGTCGCCCTGAACCTAGTAAAACATGGTGTTAGAAATTTGTGAAGGGAAAAATAACCAAAACGAATATAAAATAAAATATGCACAAAATAAATTTAATATGATTCAGTCTTGGTTACTTTATCGAATGAATGTAAAGATCATGAAGGGTATGATATCAAATTATCCTAATGAATGTAAAGATCATGAAGGGTATGACATCACATTATCCTACAAGCTCATATCTATACTAAAATCTTCTAATATTATATAAAATCATATTTTATAACATAATATCAAAAGTTACAGATATCTAAGGAAAATACGAGCAAATTTGATAAAAGCTCCGCATACCATCATCTTCCAAGCAAGGTAACCAGTTGGGCCTCCCTTTTCTCCTTCATCATCTCATATTCAATTCCCTTGCTCAAAACATTCTTCACAAACAAAACAGCTTCCTCCTTCTTCTCTATTTCCCAGTACATAGAAATCACTTTGTCAACCATACTAAAATCAGGCTTCAACCCCACACAATCCATGTCCACAAGGAGATCAACCACATCACCCACATCAGCCTCATCTTCAATCAGCTTCTTTACCCAACTACACATGATCGAAACCATGAGTTCCATCGTCTCGATATCGACTTTATTCTCCTTTTTAAGCCACTCAAACCTTCAAGTGCACACCATAAATCTCTCCCTTCTTGAGAAAAATATAGTAAAACTAACTGCAACTCTCTTGATGACAACCTGTCGTTCATATCTCCAAGAATATCAGAGGGTTCCCTTACCATTCTCTCTAATTCTTCAATTGCCTGAAAATAGCCTTCACCCTTTTCTTCTTCTTCATCGCTTGTTAAATATTGCTCCAATTCAACAGATCTCAACATTTTGAACTTGGGTTTTGTTTCCCTAACAACAAAGGTTGGGTTTTGGTGGTTGTATCCTTGTTGACATTATTCTAAGACTATGTTTCGAAAAGAAAGTTTGAACCAATTGAGGAGATAACAAGCGGTGACGGTGAAAAGGCAAAGATAATTCAGTCAACGATGAGAACCGATGAGTAAAAGCCATTTTTTCTGGGTACGTGAGGAGCTTGCTTTGCATATAATTTAAGGGGCAAAAGAAAAGAAATTCGATGAGTTTTAGTTCCCGCGAAATAAAGAAAAAACCGAAGTCTAATATTAGGGGGAAAAAGTTTGGGTGGTTCTTGCTAGAGTCAATGTTTCCTCTTTTCTATTATTTTTCCAGCAATTTCTCCGCATCCAAACAGATGTCCAGGGTGGTTCTAGCTGGAGAAAGTGAAAAGGCAAAACAACGACAAAAATAAAATCAATAAAAAAGGAAACAAAGGGTTGGAGGAATTGTTTGCGGGTAACTACACCCGCCGTCACTAAATTATTGGCAACCGATTAAAAAATGTATATTTCGTCACATTATTAATTTATTTGTAATTTTTAAATCAATTCATCAATAATTTTCAATAAATTATTTATTTAGTAATCCATTTATTCTATAATAAAGTGATAATATACTTATTTAATAACATAATAAAAATTATCTAATTCTAAAAAATATATTTTATCAATAATTCATAATTATAAAAAAAATATATATTATTTTTATTTTTAATTTAATTTCAAAAAATATTAAAGAATAAATTACATCATTCCTCGCAGACTTGATTCCCAGATGCATTTCCCTTTTTTTCTTTTTCCTTTTTTATGTCCTTCATTAAAATAGGTTATGTAAAAGTTTTGTAATACACTACTAAATTGCTTGCTCTTCCCTTCATTAAAGCGATTTAGGCGCGGCTTCTCCCTGCCCTACGCAGGTTTGATTTAGGGGCTGCATTTTCCTAATTTATTTTTCCCACTTTATGAGGTGACATGTCATCACTTAGTTGAATGAGAAATAAATAATTATAAATAATAAAATACTCTTAATTATGTGATAACATGTGTTATCATCTAATTAGATATTACATTTATTTAATTTAATTAAAGTGAAGATTAAATTGATAAAATATAAGCATTAAGGATCATATATAATTAGTTAATTTTATTAATTGTCACGTCACCATATTCGTTAAATGTTAAACGGCTAGTGGCCTGATTAAAACATTTAAAGAGTTAGTCAGTTTTATTGATAAAATTAAAACATCGTGAACAAAATAAAATTAAATAGTAATTGAGTGGTTACCAGTGTAGTTTACCTAGAAATAAAACTCAAGGGTCCAACGATAATTTCATGAAAAAAAATAAAAATAAAAGTTTCTTTAATTTAGGTATAATACATCATTCCTCACTAAATTTTATTCTCTCTCATATTTACTCTTTGTACTTAATTTTTCTACTCACTCAACTTTACAATTGCTCTTGTTTCGATCATTTGGATTATTTTTATTATTATTTTCATATGATGTGACATTATTATTATTTAATATAAAAATAGTTTTATTATTATTTCAAAGGTCGACGGTGATTGACGGTGAGATTTGAATATTTTGAGTTTTTTTAATAATAATAATATTATTTTATTATATTAAATTATTTTTATATAAATAATAATAATAATGTACATCATACAAAAATAATAATAAAATAATCCAAAACTGATCAAAACAATAGTAATTTGAAAGTTCAGTGAATAAATTTAGAAAATATGAAAGTACAATGAGTAAAATAGAAGAGAGTAAATTTAGAGAGGAATGATGTATTTACCCAAAATTAAAGAAACTTTTATTTTTCATGACATTATCAACCCTTTGAGTTTTTCTTTTGGGTAAATTATACTGGTGACCACTCAACTATTGCTTAATTTTATTTATTCACTGATGTTTTAAGTTTATCAATCAAAGTCTAACTATTTAAATGCTTTAATTAAGTCACTAGTCATTAACATTTAACAAGATGGTCACGTCACAGTTAACAAATTAGCATAATACATATGGTCCTCAATGCTTAATATTTTATCAATTTAATCTTCACTTCAATTCAATTAAATAAATATAATACCTAATTAGATGAAAACGCATGTTATCAAATGATCAAAGAGTAATTTGTAACGTCCCAAATTTTGAACTAGTAGTTTCGGGTATACCCGAGAGGTAAGTGGACCCGTAGAATTATAATTCAAGTTATTGGGCTTAATTGGGTTGTACTTAGGCCCAATTAGCCATAAAAAGGGATTTTTTGCATAGTATGAAGATGAAGAGAGACTAGTAGTGTAATTTTCCCATTTCTTGAAGATGAAAACTTTATTATATTTCTCATCTTTATATCCTCTTCAATCCTCATCTTTCTATTTTCCCTCTTCTTCCTCTCCAAACATAGCAAAGGTAAGGTTTTGAGCCTCTTTATATTTCAAATTCATCCTAATTAAACCCCCAACAACATTGTTGTAAAGATTCAAGCTTGGGTTTATTTTTGCAAAAAAAAAGGGGTTTTATCATCCAAGTCAAGGTGGAGGATGATTTCTAACTAAATGACTCTATCCCGGGATTCAATCATCAAGGTAATGTATTTCTAATCCTTTGGAGTATTAAGTTTCCATAAATTTTAAGAAATCGCTAGGATTTAGATATTTGAGCATGTTTAGGGTTTATCTTTGATTTCATGATTAAAACACGTTTTAGGTGTTAATAATGTGTTTTTAAGACACATTAAGACCTTAACCAACTTACTAAACCTTCAGAAAAAGATTAGAAACTAACCCAAGTCATTTAGGATGATTTTTTTGGTGTTTTGAGCCTAAAATATCCATTCTAAGGTCCGAGTATCGATAATGGGATGAACAATATCGATACTGGATAAATTGGGGAAAATTAAGGTTTTCATATGGGAGTATCGATACTGCCAGGGTGAGTAGTATTGATACTCAGGGTAGCAGTATCGATACTGATGCCCCATTTTCGTAACAAAATGCATTTTTAGTACTAATACTCATAGGGGTATCAATACTTGACCATAGGGTATCGATACTACAACTATAGTATCGATACTACCCACTTTGTGTAATCAGATTCACCCGGTTAAGGTTCATAAGAGCTAGGAATGGTACAGGGGATAAGAGTTAGTGACACCCCCAACCCGTACCCGACCCGAATACGAGTCTGAGGCGTCACATTGACTTTTCAAACTTTGACTCTTGACAAAATTCAAAGAAAATTTAAAACTTTCATTAAAGTAAAAGCGGTTTCTTTACATAAACTATCCACATGAACCAAAATCGATCAGAGCACATTTAACTCAATCAATTAGTGCATGCCAACTATATTCAAAACAACCAAACACATTTAAATCATCTATTTTCTGATATGAAATTTTGTAAGGGAGATGCTGACCTATCTTGCTCTTCTTCGCTTCTCTTATCGCTTCTGTAACCTACGATTGAAACAATCACACGCTAAGTCTATGACATAGTGAGGCATAAATAATCTGACTATAGCATATCATAACTAATTCCTATTATGCACATTTCATGTAATCATGATAAACCATAAAATGCATCCAAACATAAATATATATATATATATATATATACCATTTCCTTTTTACCTATTATTATTATTACTCCTATTTAATATATATTTACTTATTGCATTTTGTATATATATATAACATATTGTTTCACAAAGAAAATACCCACATCATCATATCACATATCATTTCACCATAATGATTACAAACAAAGCACATAATATCATACAAGGTTTTTTTTATATCATCTTCTTTATTAGCCCATTTACACATATGATAACTATAGATATGTGAGTCTATAGAGGTTGTGCTAATGCTGTCACCACAGCTCGTATATATACACTGAAGTGCTACGTAAATTGCACCTAAGTGCCGCGTAGAAATGCAGCGAAGTGCCATATAAGATGTCCCTAAGGACCACGTATAAAATTCCTTTAGATCCACATACATATCCAAGGACCAAGTATGTGTCTCAAAGACCTCATAGATGTTCCAAAGGATACATATATATCCCGAAGGACCGCGTAGACCTCGAATCTTGGCATGCCAACTATACCCTAGCTCTCATGACACATATCATGGGCATTATCTTTTATATCCTTTTTCATATTCATGTAAACATATCACATATTCATATAAACTCGTAGCTTCATCACATATACATTTAATCACGTAGTTCATGTAATTCTCATATCATTTTGTATTATGTATCACATGGCATATAACACTTCTCAAGTGTTCCTATAAACATTCATATCCTATGAGTTATATCTTTTCGTATAATTTATGCTTTAATCTTATATTCACCTGATTCAATATCATTTAACTTGTTTCACTTTCTCTTTCATATATCTAATGTCCTTTATCATATCTTGTAATCGTGTAAACATGTCTCTTTAATGTAATTTACATAGTAAGTCATCCTTTATAAAGTTTATAATACATGTTCAAATAGGCTCATTCTATCCTATAAATAATTTCTACTTATCTTATCTCATTTCCCCTTTCACTTACATAATTCATCTATATATACAATTTAACCTATTTTAATTAGTTCAATTTCCCATTACTTCATACATATACTCTTTCATAAAGCTTTGTAGCTCTTCACTATAATTCATAAACCATAGGTTCCTTTAACTATATAATCTTCCCTATATACTTATGTATCCTTATTTATGCATATGCCCTCGAATTTATACTATCCTCATAGAGTCTTCTAACCTTTCTCCTGTAATCACCTATACCATAATATACTTATACTCGATTATCTATGCTCACTCGTTCATTTCATTCCTTATGTATCGTATAATTTATTTCATGTCTTCCATTATTACATTTTAGTGTTTACACAAAATCCTATAGCATATACAAAGCACATCGATATCTTTAGTTATGCATACATACATTAATGTAAAATATATAATCACATATAACACATATAATAATAACAACCACATAATCTTATTCATGACTTCATGCATATTATTCTAGGAATAGACTCATCGCAAGTCCTATTTCTATTAAACATACATGTCACTATTATGCACTCACTTGGCCTCACTAGTCAATTAATCTCTTATCTTTCCCCTTGATCGATCTTATTTGTCAATGATTCCGAACTGTTTAGGGCTCTGGATCTACATAATTATACATTTTAAGGCAATTATCAGATACCTACCTTGCAATCTGATACTAACAACTTAACGAACTTAATAAACTAATATTCAATTTTTCTTCAG